GGTGCAGCGTTCCTGTGTTCCTCGTAGTTCAGCCGTGAGGGTCTCCATCGTGTATATTTCATCTACCTTATCCAGCCATTGGGAGAGCGTGGGAACGTCTGTCGACTTCCATCTGGCGGGGATTAGGCTCTTGGCGGCATTGAGGAAGTGCCGAATTAGAGATTTTTTGTAGCGTGGTATTGGCATTTGCGTGTGGTTGAGTAACATGGGCATAGGTTCCATGGGGATATCTTCTTCTAAGATTTCCATGAGTTTGTCATGGATCTGTTGCCAGTAACCTGTGATCCGAGGGCATGTCCACCAGACATGCAGGTCTGTTCCTTCAGCGGCTGCGCATCGCCAACATGAGTCGTCCGATGTCAGCCCCATGGACCTCAGCCTGGACGGGGTCCTATACCAGCAGGTCAAGACCTTGTAGTTAAGTTCTCTCATTTTAGTACTTAGTATCCCTTGGTGTGTGAGAATGTGGATCTTCTCCCATTGCTGGTCCGTCAGTGCGATCCCCGTTGCCTGTTCCCACTTAGCGTGGAAGTGCGCCGGAGCCCCCTGGTCAGCGGCCAATAGCATTGCGTAGAGCGTCGATATTCCACGGGTCAAATGTTCTTCGCTGGAGCAGAAAGTCTCGAATTGCGTGGGGTCCCTATGCAGTAACTGTTTCCCTTGGAGGGCGGCGTGGTAATGCTTAACTTGTTGGTAACGGAATTGGAGTAGGCCCGTGGGCCTGGTTTGTGCTGTCAGATCGGAGTAGGTTTTCATCTCTGTCCGGGTGCACCATGCCCGGAGGCGCTGGGCCTCCCTCCCTCCGAAGCCGTCTACGTCCTGCGGTCGCAGTCCGTCAGCCAGGTCGGGGTTGTGTATAACCGGCGTCAGGGGTGCGGGGTAGGTCGTGAGCTGCAACTTGTAGCGGATATTCGACCATATCCTCAGCGTCGCCCCAATGAAGGGGTGACGTCTGAGTTCCTGGTCGCTCAACGGGGCCCGCGTCCAAACCACCGGCGGGATCCGTCCCCTCGCCCACGTCAGCTCCAGCTGGACCCATTGTTTGTCCGTGACCGACACATGCCAGTCGACGATGCGGGAGAGGTGGGAGGCCTGGTAATATCCCTGGAGAGACGGCAGGCCTGTGCCTCCACGGTGCTTCGGGAGGATGAGTTGCGCTCTCCGCACTCTCGGGGGGCCCGACGACCACACAAATTTTAGTATCGCGGAGTCCAGGGATCTGAAGAAGGCCTGCGGGAGAGCTATTGGAATGGTCTGGAACAGATACAGCAGGCGTGGTAGCAAATTCATTTTCACTGCATTTATCCGCCCGAACCATGACACACAGAGCTTCCCCCAACGCATCAAGTCCGTGTGGAGGGAGCGGAGGATGGGGAGGAAGTTCTCCTGGTAGAGCTGGGTCAGGTCCTTCGTCAGCCAGATCCCTAGATATTTTAATCGGTGTGGGCACCACCGAAAGGGGAAGCGGGCCTGCAAGAGTTCCGCCAGCTCATGTGTCAGGGACATGGGGAGGACTTCAGACTTGGTCGCGTTGAGTTTCAGGTTGGAGAGGGCACCAAACGCATCGAATGCCGAGAGGAGGTTGGGGATCGTGACCAGAGGGCTTCCTATGAAGAAGAGGAGGTCATCCGCGTAGGCCGCCACCTTATGTTCCCGGCCGTCCTGGGTGAGTCCCGTAATACCCCCATCCCGTCTGACCGCCTCCAGAAATGGTTCCAGAGAGAGGGCAAACAGGAGGGGGGACAGGGGGCACCCCTGCCGGGTCCCATTGTTTATCTCAAATGTTGGGGAGAGGACTCCGTTGATCCGGAGCTGGGCTGTTGGGGTCGCGTAGAGCGCTGCGATCCATCGCAGGATGTTAGGGCCGAAACCCATCGTCTGGAGTGTGGTTTGGAGGAATTGCCAGTCCACCCTATCAAAGGCCTTCTCAGCGTCGGTGGAGAGGAGAAGGCCACCCCGTCCGGAGCGCTGTTGTGAGTGCATGATGTTAAGGGCCCGGACCGTGTTGTCCCTAGCTTCTCTCCCCGGGATGAAGCCAGTTTGATCCGGGTGGACCAGCGTAGAGACCAGGCGGCCCATGCGGGTCGCTAGGACCTTCGTGAAAAGCTTAAGGTCAGAGTTGAGTAGCGATATTGGTCTATAACTGGAGCATGTGGCCGGGTCCTTGCCTTCCTTGGGTATGACCGTTATGGTTGCCAGGAGGGTGTCCCCTTGGAACCGACCGTCTTCCAGAAGCGAGTTCAGGCCCGATAGTAGCTCTGGTAACAGTATCTCTCCAAAGGCCTTAAGGTAGCGTGGGGGGAGCCCGTCTGGTCCCGGGGCCTTGTCGAGGGGGGTGTTTTTCAGGGCCCCCTGGAGCTCCTCAATCGTGATGGGGGATTCGAGTTCCTCACTTTGTTCGCGTGTGAGTGTCCGGGTGACATGTTGTTCTAAGTAAGCTTGTATCTTCGTTTGTCTCCTTTGCTTCTCCCCGGCTGTCCTATTCGGTGCAATGTTGTAGAGTTTAGCATAGTAGTCTCGAAATTCCCCTATTATCTTATCTGGCACTTGTGTAAGGGGACCGCTGTGCGTCCTGATTTTAGTTATGTGGCTCTGGCGGCGTTTCTGCTGCAACATTCTGGCGAGCAGGCGGCCACACTTATTAGAGAACTCGTAAAAATGGCGGTTGGATTTCCGCAATGAGTGTGAGAGTTGTTTAGACAGTTGGTGCTGTAGGGCCCGTCGTGCTTCCACTAGCGCTCCGTAGACTTCCTCCGAGTTTGTAGCTTTGTGTTCTTGGTCTAATTGGGCGACCCGTGCATGTAGGTCCGTTAAGAGCCTGCGTGACTCCCTCTTTCGTGTGGTGCCGACCTTGATGAAGTATCCCCGGATTACGCACTTATGCGCTTCCCAGCGGGTCAGGTGCGAAGTCTCTGTAGGGTCGTTTTCATTGAAGTATTGGCGGAGAACAGTCTTAGCGTCCGCAAGGGTGACCGCATCAGCAAGCAATTGGTCATTTAACTTCCAGTGCCGGCGTGTGGGCTTATGCAGGGGAGACGCCATGACGGCCAGGACCGGGGAGTGATCGGACCAGTTGGCCGGTAGAATCTCACATGAGTGCAGCAGGTGGAGGTATTCTTGTGAGAGGAAGATATAGTCTAGCCTGCTGTGTCCTCGGTGCACCGGGGAGTAGTAGGAATAATCTCTCGCGTCCGGGTGGAGGACTCGCCATCCGTCCGCTAACCCCGCCGTTCGAAGTGCCGTCTGGGAGACCCGGAGGCAGGTCCCCGACAGTGTGCTACCACCCCTTGAGGTGTCCATGCGGGGGTCCATGGGGACGTTGATGTCACCTGCGAGGATCAGGAGCCCCTCCCGGAAACCCTCAAGCAGCCTTGCTGTTTTAGCGAGGAAGCGATGTTGTTTGGAATTAGGGGCGTACACGGAGGCGAAGGTGTAGCGCCGATCCGCTATCGTGCCTTTAAGGAACAGGTAGCGTCCATTTGGGTCGGCCCTCTCCTCCAGGCAGGTGAAGGGCACAGTACTTGCGAAGAGGATAGCCACTCCTGCTTTCTTGGAATCGCTGTGGTTGGCGAAGAATCCCGTAGGGTACCTCCGATCCCTGAGAGCCGGGGCCTCTCCCCCCTGGAAATGGGTCTCCTGAAGAAATGCCACCGATGCCCTAGCCGCCCACAAAGCTCTCAGCAGGTGTGATCTACGTTCCGGCGTGTTCAGGCCCCTGACATTGTTGGACCAGAGGCGGAGGGGCGCCGGGGCGAACCCCCCAGCACCCAGGGAGGGCATGGGGGCCAGGGCGGTGACGCGGGGGGGGGAGGGGAGACAAGCAAGGGTGAGGAGCCTGGGCGCGCTCACGATAAGTGGGGGCTCCGAGTATGGTGCGGTGTCACGCGGGTGCGCGTTAGGGTGGCAGCCCCTGGTGGCTCAGGGCGAGTGGGTCAAACAAGGTAAACTATCACAACAGTGAAACTATATACAAGAGTAGACTTGACTGTCTAGGTGGGTAAATCCAATCTGGGTGTTCCGTCCCTTAAGTTAATCACCCTCCTGGTCCCTCGTCCTAGTGTGTGGTACAGTCTGTCTGTGGGTGCGCGTGTGGCCCAGTGCGGGCAGGAGTGAGGGACGGGTGTGTCCTCAAGTGAGAGCTACCTGTCCTGTGTCTATACAGGTTCCCCGTGTCCTCCCCCCTGGCCCTCTGCGACTGCCTATGGCCATTCTATGCTAAGGGTCGGTCTGATTGGGGAGTCCACAGGCCCGGGTCCTGTCTCGTCTGTACCCCGGCCTCCCGCCGTGCAGCAGGCCCCAAGTCCAGTGACGGGGGCGGATGGGCGTTGCAGGCCCGTCCCCACAAGCATTTTCGGGGCGGGAGCCCCCCCTCCCCGGTTGGGTCGCCCCACCAACAGTAGGCCCCACCAACTCCCACCCAGAGTCCTCCCAGGTGCTGTCCAGGCACGGTGTGCACAGGTCCCCTCCGTGCATCCCCCCCCCCCGCGCCCCCCAACAGCCTCCATAGCCCACCCAAAACCCCGGGCGGGAGCTAACACTTCCGGTCCCTAAACTAACCCAAGAGAGGCTTAGGGAAAAGGGGGGGGGAAAGGGCTCCCTGTGCACAAAGGGCCCGGGTCTCTGGGGTATGGCCGGGTGATCCACTGTGGGCAATTAAAGCGGGTAACAAATTCCGGTACTCCCGACTGGGAGGGGATAAGAGTCGGTGGCGGCCAAGTGGTTCAGCGTCATCTTGTGCCTAATAGGGGGCCGGTGAGTGCCAGGCGGGGCGCCGCCGGTGAGTCGGCAGGGTTCAATGATGCCACAGTTCCAGATACCCGGGTGTCGCGGGGCAGGGGGCAGGGGGCCGGGTTCCGCCATTGTTCCAGGGGCTGCTTCGTCCTCCCTCCCCACCTAAGCTAACCTATCCCAGCTATGGGCAGCTTCCCCCCCTCACCCAGGACCACCCCAGTACCTCGTGGACCGGTTGATTCCGGGCCACCTGTGCTCCGTCTTCTCCGTTACTCTTCAGCGCCACTCGGTCCGCCCCACATCCGGGGTGACCGGGCCTCTTCTCTCCTGGGCGCGGGCGGGCAGTCATCCACGCCTGGGTCCTGTCGGGGAGCCAGTGGGGTGTCCAGAAGCCAATTACGGACCCGGATGTTCGGCAGCCGTAGGGTCCGCAGGGCCCGCGGGATGTCATCGGGCCAGCGCACTTGGAGCCACGTGGTGCCGTGTTTAATTTGCAGGCTGAAGGGGAATCCCCACTGGTAGGGGACCCCCTTGTCTCGCAGGGTGGTCGTGAGTGGCCGGAGGGCACGCCTGGCGTCCAACGTGAGGCCGGAGAGGTCCTGATAGAGGGACACCTCCGAGCCATGGAACTGTATGCTCGTCATACCCCTGGCCGCCGCCATCAGCTTCTCCTTAGTGCTATACGTGTGGAGACAACAAAGGACGTCACGGGGCCTTCCATCCGGGCGTTGGGGCCCTTGTGCCCTGTGGACGCGGTCGAACTGGATCTCTTTGGGGCCCTCCTGGCCCAAGATCTGTCTGAAGAGGGCCCTCAGGGTGTCTGGCAGCGGAGTTGCGTCCGGCTCCGGGAGGCCCCGGATCCGAATGTTTTGCCGCCGGCTCCTATTCTCCAGATCTTCAACCTGGCGTCGCAGGGAGAGCAGCATGTTCCCCTGTCGCGTGGTGGCCAGTTCAGCGGCCCGGTGCTGTGTGCGGCATGCTTGCGCCTCGGTCTCCAGGGCCTCCACCCTCACCTCGACCGCCGACAGGTCTGTTCGCAGGGCCGTGAGTTCCTCCCTGATCGCCGTCCGAAGCTCTTGTAGGAGGCCGCCCGAGTCCGCCTTGGTGAGCATATGGGTGGAGATCATGGCCAGCTCCTGCTTGATCTGGGCCAGGGTGTCATCTGGGAGGGAGTCCCCCATGCTGTCCTGGCTTGGGGATCCTGGCGCCATTTTGTCCTGCGGCCCGCAGCTGCCCTGCGTGCTCGGGGTGCAGATGAAATCGTCCATCGTGCCCGTGTGGCGGCGTGGGGAGCCACCTGGGGCCTGTGATTTTTTATTTCTGACCATTTTTAATCGTTAGGGCCGCTAATAATCGCTATTTTATGGCCAGGGGGTGAGGAGCTTGGTCTCTACACGTCCTGTCGCATGCTCGGCTCGGCCACGCCCCCCATCTCCATTTGTTAACACTAAATCTAGTATGGTCTCTTTACGAGTTGGCTCCTCAACAACTTGTTTTAGAGACAATCCCAGTAGGGAGTTTAGAATATGTGTGCTCCTGGCACAAGTAGCTAATTTTGTTTTCCAATTTACATCAGGAAGATTAAAGTCACCCATGATGATAACTTCCCCCTTCATTGTCATTTTAGCTATTTCCTCAACTAGTAGATTATCTAACTCTTCAATTTGTCCTGGGGGCCTATAAATCACACCTACACGAGTTACTGTGTGATTACCAAATTCTAACGTAGCCCAAGCGGACTCTATGTTTGCCTCACTAACTTTTATTAGGCTAGATTTTATGCTATCCTTCACATACAAGGCCACCCCTCCCCCTTTCTTGCCTTCCCTATCTTTCCTATATAAAGAGTACCCTGGTATTGCTATGTCCCAGTCATTTTTCTCATTGTACCATGCCTCAGTAACAGCGACTAAATCTACACTATCACTTGCCATTATTGCCACAAGTTCATGGATCTTATTCCCTAAACTGCGAGCATTTGTAGACATGACTCTAAGCTTATAATTTTTTAACACACTTGTTACAGGCACCTTCTGACCTTCTGTCCTTGTTTTGGGGGACAATTGGATTGATGTTTTATCACCCTTTTGCCCCCCCCTCCTAGTTTAAATACATCCTAGCTCACTGAGAACATTTGTTCCCTTTTGAGAAAGATGCAAACCATCTTTTTTGTACAGCTTATCTCCATTCCAAACAGAGCTACCATGAGAAATAAAGCCAAATCCTTGCTCCCGACTACCATTCGCAAACCACAAATTAAAAGGTCCCTATCACGCATCTACTTATAATGGATTCTGAGTGTTATGCACAGGCAGAACTTCAGAGAATGACAGTGTGGAAGCAACCTGCCGTATATCATTGGCAAAACACTAAAAACTTCCTTAACCTCTGAAACCTCATTGCAAGCCAAGTCATTTGTCCCTAGATGGACAAGTACATCCAATTCCCCTTCCTGCTTTGCTTGCTTAACAATATTACAGATCCGTCTCCTGTCTCTGTGAGCAGTAGCTCCGGGAAGACACCTCACAAGACCACCATTGTCCATCTCCACACCACTTAGGCCTCAGTGCCTCTCTCAACAACACCACTAGCCTCAGTGCCTCTCTCCACAACACCACTAGCCTCAGTGCCTCTCTCCACAACACCACTTCAGTGCCTCTCCAGCCTCAGTGCTCTCTCCACAACACCACTAGCCTCAGTGCCTCTCTCCACAACACCACTAGCCTCAGTGCCTCTCTCCACAACACCACTAGCCTCAGTGCCTCTCTCCACAATACCACTAGCTTAGTGCCTCTCTCCACAATACCACTAGTCTTAGTGCCTCTCTCCACAACACCACTAGCCTCAGTGCCTCTCTCCACAACACCACTGTCCTCAGTGCCTCTCTCCACAACACCATTACACTCTGAAAGTGCAGAAAATGAATTATGAAGAGCAACAGACTGTGCAAAATGCCTTTTATCCACAACTCTAAGTCTACCAGATCCTACAGTAATCCATCTGCCATTCCTAGTATGTCTCTGCGGCAGTGGCTTTGCAGCAGTTCCAGTCTGAGTTTCTTCACCAGATAATTTACAAATCTCAGACTTCAAAAATACAATCTCCTGCCGCAAGATAGAGAACTGTCTACAGATTAGACAACAACCAAACCTCCAAAAAGTGGAACGTGAAACAAATGCATAGCAATTGTTACACTGAACTAAGTCTGCCATTCCAATTAGGAGAATAATTTAAATCTAACAAATCTTAACTTTGTATTTATCCTCCTGAATACCTCAGATTACCTCCAGTTTCTCTCCAGAATATCTCCAACTACACACTTAGAAACAGCACTTAGAAGTAGCACCAATCTATGATTTTTGGGTATGTTTATATTTGGAATGTGCTGATTAATAATGTGACTTTTATTAATATTGGATGTATAGTTTTAGAGTTATGAAAGTTGCGTTAAAAGTATCTTTTAAAATGTACGGATAATTGGGTTACCTCTCAGGCTAAGGGGAGGAGATGTGTGGGATGTATCCATTGTTTGATTGGCTAATGTATAATTGTCTGTGGGCGTCTCCCTTGCATAGGAGAATTGCATAAAAGCAGAGTGTGTGTCATTAAACGAGAGTTCTACTTCACCCTCAATCTAGAGTCCTGTCTCTTATTGGGGGAATTGCTATATCACTACAAGGGATTGCTATGCTCTGCATGCTCCCTTGGATAATCACTTCTAAGCTCTTGTAAGAGCTTGTTCCTGTTTCACTTTCTTGGAGGAAAGGTTCACCCACTGGAGCCTGGAGCCTTGTCGGAGGTCCAGGTTGGGTAGGAGACGGCGAGACCCCAACCAAGCTACGGCGGTTCGTGGGGTCTGCTGTGGTTGTGGTGTCTGGTGGAGCGCTTGGAGCCCTCTGTAAGCACTAGGAGCATCCTTCAACGGAGTCGGGGGTGCCAGGTGATCCGTTACAGTGTTGACATTAAAAAGACTACAGGCACAGGCTATAGACACCAGAACCACTACATTTTGCTGTAGTGCTTCTGGTGACTATAGTATCCATTTAATGTGAGGTAAATTAGAGATTAGTGCCACTAAAATTCTGGATTGCCTACTTACCACCAGATGAGGGCAAGAGACTGATGATGGGCTCTGTCTGGCTCAACAGGTCTGGTGTAGAAGAAGCTCTCTGGAGACTGTTTTTAACAGTGCTCACAACAATTAACGAACAGGAAGCAGCTCCATTTTTTAGGGCCCCTTACACAGCTCAAGGTCTGGGCCCCCAGGGCTTGACCGTGAGTATGCCTACAATGCCCACCCATAAATCCACCTACATGGCCCACCCATGAGTTCTCTCACAGGAAGTGGAGTGTATGTGTGTAGGGGATGTTTTATGTGTTATTGTAGAGGATGCAATGCATGTGTGTTCTTATAAAATGTAGTGTATAGGGATATCAATTTGTGTAAGGAATGTAGTTTGTGTATAGGGGATGCAGTGTGTGTTTGCGTGTAAGGAATGGATTTTATGTTTCTGGGTGTGTGTGCGTGTGTGCAGGGGGTGCAAGTTGTGTTTCTGTGTATGTAATTGAATGCAGTGTGTGTCTGTAAGGGGTGCATTGATTGTGTAAGAGATGCATTTTGTTTCTGTGTGTAAGAGAATGAGTGTTTGTGTGAGCGTAAGGGATGCATTGTGTGTTTTGGGTGTGTCTGTGTGTGAGTAGGAATGCATTGTATGTTTCTGTGTGTGGGGATGCATTGTGTATGTGTGTAGTGTAAAAGAGAAGGTTTGTGGGGTAGGATAGGGACTAAGAGGGGAGCAGCTCTTTATTTTTGTAAATTTTTTTCATAGTGCTCTCCCCTCCTGTTAATGATTGATTTCCCCTTTCCTCTTGTCCCCCTGTTTCTCTGCAGTCCCCCTTGGTGGTCTTCTCACTCCTCCCTTTCCCCCTTAGTGGTCCTCCATCCCTCCCCCTAGTGGTCCTCCCTCTCCCAAACCCCTTAGTAGACCTTCCCCTCCTCCACCCACCCCCTTAGTGGTAATCTCCCTCCCCTCAGTGGTCATTATCCTCTCCCCCCCCCTTAGTGGTCCTTACCCTCATCCCCTCTCCTTAGTGGTCCTCCCTCCGGCGCCCCCTGCTAAGTTGTGCCCTAGGCGGTTGCCTAGGTCGCCTTACAGGTAGCGCCGGCCCTGTGTGGCAGCGAGAGTCAGCCGACTCCTGTGTTCGGCACCAGCAACTCGCGTGTTGGAAAGTCCAATGGAGCCTCTGCCTTGCGTGTCAGGTAGGCTGGAGGGATTCCACTGCTGCTTCCCGGCCTTCCGTGGGTACCGTGGGTGGCAGTGATGCCTCCTTGGTGATGTGGCAGCCTCCCCGCTCTGCGTGTTGGTTTGCGGGCCTGAGTCCCTGTATGTCTCTGTGTATTAACCACATTTTTATGTGCGGATGAATACGTGACATTACCCCCCACCTGAAGAAAGCTCACTGGGCGGGCAGGACCAGGTTTGAGAGGAAACTTGGCGTGAAAAGAACAAATTTTATGGCCAGCATGGATATCAGAAGTCGAAACCCAAGAACGGTCAGCAGGCCCCTACCCCCTCGAATCAACCAAATACTGTAAGGAACCATGAGAAACCCTGGAATCAATGATGGAGGAGACTTTGTACTCCTCCTGTCCAGAAACAACCAAAGGTGGAGGGGGAACAATCGCAAACAAGCTTTTTGAGCAAGGATACATGAAAAGTATTAGGTATACGTAAGGAAGGGCCAGAGAATAAGACACAGGGTTGATTCTCCTAACCACACGAAAAGGACCAAGGAACCTTGGAGAAAATTCATGCTGGGAACCTTCAACCTGATGTTGCATGAGGATAACCAAACCCGATCATCCACCTGATAAACTGGATTGGCACTCCGCCGTTTATCCGCATGAAACTTAAAGCGAACAGCCGCAGTTTCAAGAGCGGAGTGAACCTTAGTCCAGGGATCACAAATAGAGGTAAGGTGATCATCCAGAGTAGGGATAGCCGTATCAGAAAACACAGCAGGGAGAACAGCAGGATATACAAATATATTCGGGGCCAGTACAAACCTTTATCTGGAAATCTATTCATAAACAGGGCTATGCATAGGACACAAAGTCACACATTTAGGCTGGAAGAAAGGAGATTTCATCTAAGGCAAAGAAAAGGTTTTTTTACAGGAAGAGCAATAAGGATATGGAATTCTCTGCCTGAAGAGGTGGTTATGGCAGAGTCACTATAGAGGTTTAAACTGCAATTGGATAAATACT